TGGCGGTTCTGGGGAGCACCCCACAAATCCTTGGCATGACACCCCACAAACCCCTCCTGCCCTAAAGGTGACATCTTCAGCATCTCACAGCCCCCCACGGCCACTTGGCCTCCAGCCCCCAGCTCGCTTCATGGGTGCAGGGTTGTGGGGTGCCTGTGGTGGTGGTCCCTTTGCCATGCTGGGGGTGAGCCTGGCACAGGGGGATGGAGCCACCACTGAGCGGGAGGTGGTTTCTTCCGTGGGGGCTTCCTTGTACCGTGCCTGCAGCAAACCCTTCCCGTGCACCCAACGCACCCGTGGCACGGGGACAATGGGACACATGGGTACTGAGGTGGGGCCACCCCAGCCTGTCCACCTCAGCCTTTGCAGCCCCTTTTGGGGTCGGCTTTTGGGGGGGGACGATGAAGCGTGCCGGGAATTGTGCCTTTCCCTCTCATCCGCAGACAGTCACGATGTTTAAGTGGCTTGTTTTTCATTAGGGAAAGGCTGTTGCTAGGCCACCCTGGTCCCCGGCATTGGTCGGGAAGGGGTTTTGCAGCCAATCCGGGAGGCTGTGCTGGCAGTTCACACACGCACATACACGCACACACATGCACACACGCACACCCCTCCTGCAGCCAAAGTGCTAAGCGGCTGCCAGATGTGCCTATTCATTTCCACATCACACCTATCCGCTTCTTCCGGCCAAGCGGGTTATTAAGGCTCCTGAGATTTTAATTTATAGCCACCTGCAAGTTTTCTGCCTCCCAATTTGTGCTGGGGACATAGAGGAGAGGGGTGATGGCAGGTGGGGGTATCACCAAGGCATGGTGTGGGGAGGCTGGTTCCTCCCTCCGCTGTGACCAGTTTGGTCTCTGGTGAGTTGCCCAAGCGAAGCCTCCACTCTCTGCCTGCAAACGGGGCAAATTGTCCCTCTGCGTCACCGCAGCAAGGGGACAGACTGCCCCAGGTTAAGGACTTGCTCTGGGCTGTTATTAGGTACCAGCATCGCTCCACCCCAAGAAGTTTGGGGCTTACGTGGCACTTCAACCACATGTACCGTGATAACCAGAGCCAGCATCAAAGCAAACCATGTCTTTGATCAGGAGATGCTGCTCCCAGCCATGATCTCCATGCAAACAGCCTCCAGCAGCCGGAAGAGGTGCTGGACCATGGCCAGGAGCTGGCGATGTGGGGCAGGAGGGTCAGATGAATCCCTGGTGTGGGGTCTCCTGGCACGGATGCTCTTCTGCTACGGTGGTATTTCAAGCAGCCTACGGGTGTCCAACACCCACCCAGCAGAAGCAGAGCCTTGGGTACATGGGCACATGAGCACAGCCCAGAATGCGAGCAGGATGGAGGCACACATCTGCTTCTACAGCTGCAAAGCTCTCACCATGTGGGCTAGGAATAGACAGCAAAAACACACAGAAAACCATGGATAATCCACGCCAAATTCAGTTTCTGAGTGTCCCCCATGAAAACCCCTGTGTAGCAAGAGGGCAGGGAGGGGGGGAGCTTAATAAAAGCAAGAAAAAGCATTGAATCACTGTCTGCCGCTCAAGGAGAAGCTGTTGCTAGACAGAAGTAAAAGCCGTCGCCATCAGCTCCCATTGGCTCAGCCCCACTCCAATGACAGGCTTATCAGTTACCTGCTCTTGCAGCTGGCTGGAAAAAAAACTCATTTGGTAATGTTTTCCCTCTGATAAAAAAGCCCATTGCTGGATTCGTGAGTTTGTGTTAATCATTATTCAGGGTCGTTAAGACAACGGCCGAGTTTTCTGCCGATTCTTCAATTATCACAAAATTTAGCGTAAATGGTGAGCCAGCCCAGCTCTCCTTCGCCTGCCCAAAGATGCTCAGCGAGCTGCTGGGGTGATGGACCAAAGCGAAGGCTGGCGGCTCTCAGCCATAGCAACTCCCTGGCACGTAGGTGAATATTCACAAACACCTGTGAAAATCCTGCTTCGCTCTTGAAGGGTTCATCGGGTGCAAATGTGACAAAACTTGCCATTCAGATTATTCAGAACAAACACCACTTCGTCAGTGGGGAACGAGTTGCCACCACCCTTCATCACCCGTGGTGGGGTTTGCTCCTCAGCAACCCTGCCTCGGCGGGGGATGGACACTGGGTGCTGCAGAACACAACATCAGGGTTTTTCCAGCCCTTCAAATCTGATGTAAATGGGGGCTGACTGCCCCCAGATTTGCTTCTCAGCTGCGCTGGATCACGGTGGATGAGTGATTAGAGAAAGTTGTCCCTTGCCTGGAGCCCAGACCAGGTTTACTTTTGGCAGTTGGTCTCGCTAAAGTGTTTGGATAGTCAAGACTTCAGAAATACAGGTTTTTTTCCTTAATTAAGCCTTCCTCCCGCCACTGGCTGACAGGGAGGGAGGCTGAGTCACAGGCTGATAAAACCTTGTGGCCTTCCACCTCCTTTTTCAGCTTTCTCCAGCCTCACCCCAACACACCTGTGTCTGACATCGACCCATCACGTGGCTTACGGCAAGTTGGTGCTATGGGGTGGTGGGACATGGTGGGCTGGGGAGGCAGCAAGGTGGGATTCATGGGGACAAACAAGCTGGGAGCTGTGGGGTGCACCGTGTGAGCTCTCCATGAACCCAGATACCCCCCAAGGGGATGCAGTTATATGGGCCAGGTTATATGGCCATGAGCAAAGCATCCCTCCTCTGTGCCCTTCCTCTGGGTCCGCTTCCCCAGGAGCAGAAGATAGCGCTGCTGTGTCAGCTCTGAGATGCCCCCATCTTCTGATGGTGCTGTCTGCTGACCCACTGAGCTCCTGTCACCTTTTCCACAGCTCTGCTTCCCTTCTGCCACCTTGGGACAGGCAGAAATGGCAGAGAGGATGAAATGGAGAAAAACCCATGCCAGCCATGCTCCTCCTGCACCCCGCTGTGTGCCCCCACAGAGTTCAGGTCCCTCCAGTGTCCCACCGGGTCCTGCTGACGTTGCACGGCATCGCGCCGGGGCTCAGCTGAGCTGCACCCTGAGGCTCACACAGAGGGTGGTGCCAGCTGGGTTTTACAGCTTGCTGCGTCAGGAACACGCCTGGGACAAATTGCCATGAGCAGGATTTAAAGATCTACTGTGGGACCATGTTTCCTACAGGGTCTGACGGAGAGCGCTTAGACCAGGAGCCACGATGCAGCCCAGGTTATTATTATTTCTGTCGAAGGAAGGCTGCGCTCACACCAGCAGGAGGGCAGAGCTTTTTGGACACGTCCAACGTGTTTCAAAGTGTTTCTGAGCTGTCCCCAGCTTCATCTGCCGGGCAGGGAGGAGTTAAGACGGGAAGTGCAAGATGCGTCTCTTAATGGCACTGATGTGTGCGTCAGGTGTGCCTGCGTCACCCGGCTCCTTGGCTGCTTCCCAAGGCTGGGGCTGAGCTCTCCTTCCCTCCCCTTGGCTGCTGGGAAGAGCCTGGGGCTCATCTAGCTTGGCCATGGGGAACACAGACTCCATTTCAGTGCTGGCTGCCGTACCCACACGGTGCTGGTGGCCGGGCTCCCCAAAACCCCCAGGGTGCTGGCAGCCCTCCAGCCCCCTCCTGTCTCACAGCCCGGGCAGCAGGACTGGGGGACCCCTGTACTAAAGGTGCCTTGAGCCATCTGGCAAAAAAAAAATTACTGATTTTCTACAGTGGTGGCTGTTCATTTCCCCAGAGAAGCGTGTGACTCCCCACGTCCAGCCCCAAACCCCACTCCGGTGCTCACACCCAGCTGGGGTGTAGCTGTACAGCCACATATGGCACCCACAAAGCAGCAGCCTGTGGGCAGGGTCACTTCAGGTGAGCATCACCATGCAGGGAAGGCACCATCGCACTCCCACAACCTGTGCACAGGGACACTGCCCCACAGGGCAGGCAAATCCCAGCAGTGCCTCCCCGAGCTGTGACAGCCCAGCTGCTGGAGCGTGACACAGCAGGACATCTTCTCTTGCAATGGTCTTTTTCCAAGCAGGCAGCAGGGCTGGACCACGGGATTCATCCCTGCTCCTCCTGCCTTCACGGGGATGTCCCAAAGAGGAGGGGACCAGTCCATAGCCCAAGGAATTGCTCACACCAGCCATCATCAGGTCCCTCAAAGCACCTTCTCTGGTGCCAGCTGGGTTTTAAGCACCGGGGCACACCACAGGACATGGGCACAGCGTGTCTCTCCCTAGCCAACCCCATCCCTGCCCTCTCCCTCCCGGAGAGCTGCCAGATCAGATGATGTAATACACACACAGGGGTTTTGCAAGAAGAGGTTTTAATTCAGAACCAGACAAACATGCGAGGAGTCCATTTAAAATTATGTGCCTCCTGTGCTCTTCTCCAGGCTGGACATTGATTAGACCCAGACCTTCTTTTCAGGCTCCACTGTGCAAACAAAGCGAGGAGGAAACTATTTAACTGGCCCTGGAGGGTTTGCAGCCTTTGGGCATCAGCAAGAGACCTCAGCCCTCCCACGAGGAGACTTGTCACTCACCCACCATGGGGGTATCTCCCCATCCCAGAGGACACTGGAGGTGCCCTGGCAACCCCAGACACCCACAGGGGCTCCTCCAGGCTGGCACAGGACCCTGCTCGCCCCCAGGTGCCAAGTGACACATGAACACGGTGCAGCCACAGCATTTATTTCTGTGTGACAGACAGCAAGAGGCTGCAGACAGCACTTTCAGGAGATCACCAGCGTCCAAGTGCCATCATTTCTCTGTCCCCGAGCCAGGCTGGGGGCATCCGGACTCCTCTGTGTGCCAGGTCACCCAGAGCACATGGGGCACAAGCCCCAGGGAAGGAGATCAGCAGCCACCTCCACCTTTAATAGCTGGAGGCATCACGATGGCCTGAAACACGTGGAGGAGACACCGTCCTCCATCACAAGCTGCTCGCCATCAGGTCCGTGGGCCAGTACCGGTCGTCCAGGTACTGGCTGCTGTCTGTGCTGGGGTCTGTGATGGGGCTGGGGGGCCGGGGGGGGGGGGGACGGGCCCAACCCGGTCACACACAGGGGTTTTGCAAGAAGAGGTTTTAATTCAGAACCAGACAAACATGCGAGGAGTCCATTTAAAATTATGTGCCTCCTGTGCTCTTCTCCAGGCTGGACATTGATTAGACCCAGACCTTCTTTTCAGGCTCCACTGTGCAAACAAAGCGAGGAGGAAACTATTTAACTGGCCCTGGAGGGTTTGCAGCCTTTGGGCATCAGCAAGAGACCTCAGCCCTCCCACGAGGAGACTTGTCACTCACCCACCATGGGGGTATCTCCCCATCCCAGAGGACACTGGAGGTGCCCTGGCAACCCCAGACACCCACAGGGGCTCCTCCAGGCTGGCACAGGACCCTGCTCGCCCCCAGGTGCCAAGTGACACATGAACACGGTGCAGCCACAGCATTTATTTCTGTGTGACAGACAGCAAGAGGCTGCAGACAGCACTTTCAGGAGATCACCAGCGTCCAAGTGCCATCATTTCTCTGTCCCCGAGCCAGGCTGGGGGCATCCGGACTCCTCTGTGTGCCAGGTCACCCAGAGCACATGGGGCACAAGCCCCAGGGAAGGAGATCAGCAGCCACCTCCACCTTTAATAGCTGGAGGCATCACGATGGCCTGAAACACGTGGAGGAGACACCGTCCTCCATCACAAGCTGCTCGCCATCAGGTCCGTGGGCCAGTACCGGTCGTCCAGGTACTGGCTGCTGTCTGTGCTGGGGTCTGTGATGGGGCTGGGGGGCCGGGGGGGGAGGGTACGGGCCAACTCTGTCTCCCACTGCACCTCCACCAGTCTGTACAGCTCCATGGCCGTCTGAGCATCCTCCACCGATGAGTGCCCTTTGCAGCCAACCTGAGCAGAGGGGGAAAAGCCTCATTAGGAGAAAGGGTTTGGCAAAAATCCAACAGGTCACCTCGTCTGCTTGCTCAGAAGGACACAATCGCTGGGAGTTTTGGAGATGGTAATGGTTCGATGCAACCCAGGAAATAGATGAATCTCAAACACTTTCTGGAGGTCACAGGTCCTGTCCCTGCTTTACTGAGATGCTTAATGGTCAGTTTGGGAGGTCCTGGGCTCCCTCAGCTGGATCACATCCAGGAGCACAGGATGAACAAGGTTCATCTCCATCTCACAGACAGCACCCAAAGAAATAGGAGGACCAAGCTGACCACACAGGCTTGTAGCAAACCCAGGAACTGCTCCCCATCTCAAGGTTCCTGCTGCTTACCTGGATATTTTTATGGAGCAGGTGCCTGGCCAAGCTCTTGAGGGAGACGTTGGCCCTGATGGGCAGCCCTGCCCTCTGGTTCAGCACAGGGATCCGACTGGTGTCTCGGGTCCTGTCTTTCGGGTGGAAGTACTTCAGGGCTTGGAAGTCGTTGTGGATGGCGTGTCCTACCACAATCTTGTCTTTCAAGATCTTCAGGATCTGGAAGCGTCAGAAACGGTTAGACAGGCGGTGCATCAAAAGGAACACCAATTAAACATAAAATAAATCATTTTTCTGTTAAATTCAGTTCCTTCAGTTCTGGTTTTTTAGGTTCCCAGAATGGAGAAGTAACAAGCAAACCAACCCACTGCACGGCTTTGCAGGCTCCCTGTCCTGCACTTTTGTCTTTGCCTCAGAGTAGCTCAGCACAGGCCACCAAACATTCCAATTTGTGGCCGGCAGGTAACCCACATCATTTTTTTTTCTTAATTTCTCTCTTTTTCCTCACCTCTGCCTGAGCAGCCTTGAAGGGAATCGCGTTCTTCATGTGTCGCTTGGTGATGCCGCTCCAGCGTGTCCGGTAGTCCACGATGGGGAGCTCGGGCTGGACGTACTTGTCGTAGATGACATCCCCATCGTAGTTCACCACAGAGCACCGTGCCAGCTCGCTCTGCCTGCCCTGAGGACCTGTCCCCACCATCTCGCAGTCGATGGCCACGTACTTGCCAGGGCGCAGGACGGGGGAGGACGTCCGCACCCCCTTGGAGCTGCCATTCCCCTCTGACAGCAGCACGGAGTGATGCCTGGCGATGCTGTCCGGAGAGGCGGATGGGGACAAGGATGGGGAGACGACCTGTTTGGGCTTGGGGACCTTTCTGCAGCACGGTGCCGTGGTGTCCCCCACCTCAGTGAGCGTGCTGCATGCCTCCAGCCCCACCACGGGGGCTTGTCGGTGGGGGCTCAGCAGCCCCTTCTGCTCCAGCAGCGCCCGGCGCTCCATGAACCGCTGGTGCTTGCGGCTCTTCTTCTTGCTGGGACCTTCTGGGGTCCCTGCGGCGGGGCCATGGGTGCTCTGCAGGGTGGGTGAGGAGACCTTCGGGGCGGGCAGCAGTGGGGTCATCTGTCCTTTGCCAGGAGGCATCCCTGCTGGAGTAGGGGTACGGGGTGGGGGTGAGTGCCACGCAGCCCTCATGGCCCCCTGTCATAAGGGGTCCACACACCCCATGGCAACCCCCCTGCTCCGCGACATAGCCCCCAACATGCTGTATGCAAGCACAGGCAGGAGCTATGGGGCAGTGGAAGGGGGGGAGTGGGGGGGACACGCGACACAGACACACTGTCACACCCTGTCCCCATGCCCACTCGTTGCCTGGCTCCCACTCAACCCATTCCCGCTCCCAGGGCCGAGCCCACCCCCTTCCCGATCCACAGCCCCCTGCCCACCCCACTGACGCCCCCCTCGCCTGCCCCACTGCACACCCCTAGGGCCCTGTCCGCCCATTGCCCAGGCCCTGCCCGCCTCACTCCCGGCCACAGACCCCATTCCCGCCCCATTACTCGCCTCCCAAGCCCCTACTCGCCCCATCACCCACCTCCATGCCCTTGACTTGCCCCCCCGCGGTTGCCCGCGGACCCACCGCTGCCAGCCCGGACCCGGCGCGGGCTCCCACGTGTCTCGCCCGGAAGCCGCCGCTCTCACATGCCCGGGCAAGTCCCGCCGTGGCCACGCCCCCCCGCCTTCCCATTGGCTGCGCCGTGGGGAGCGATTTGCATGCAGCGCGGGTAGGGGCGGGGGCCCTCGTTATAAGGCGGGCCGGGTATAACGCGGGGGTGTTTGTGTGTGGTGTGGTTGTGTTGGTGGTGGGTTTGTCATGGGGCTGCCCGGGCAGCGCATCTGGTGTTTCCATCCCCGACCTGGGTGCTGCTCGGGGCTTCTAGCCTCTTCCTCCTCTGGCTCTGCTGGGACTTTCTAGGTGGTGAGTTTTGGGGTGGGGATGTGAACCAGGTTACCTAGCCACACACCATGGAGCTTGTGGTGATGCTGGGAGCATCCCTGCTTCCCTGGGGGGATCCTCAGGCTGCTGGCAGGGGCAGTACCACACATCTGGGGTGGGCTGAAGTGGTGCAGCGTGGGGTTTGTGTCCTTTAGGCTCTCCTGTGGTGCTCCATGGGGATGTGGGGGTCAGCTTCGGCTGGGGCGCAGCTGCAGGTGGGGTTTCAGACCAGCCTCTCATTGCTTCGCTCTCGAGGCTCACAAAAGCAACGGCCGAGGTGGTCAGAAGCAGAGATGGGCCACGGGCAGCCCCAGCCACCAGCTTGTCCCCGCGCCTTTAGCATCGCTGGAGAGGCCGTGCGCCCTAGGGCAGACTGTGACTTGTTGTGGTGGGATGAGCCATACAACAACAAAATCACTAGTCTTCCAGAGGGAGCCAGGCACCGTGTCCGTCCTCATCCCACGTGGCCCCGCGCTGAGCATCCCCCTCTCCCTGTCACCGAGGGGGCTCACAGGGATGCAGGACAAATCTCTTCACGCTTCCCCCTTCCCACCACCCATTGGCTTCTCCAGCCTCGTCAGAAAGAAAAGATTTAGATCACTCTGTGATTTATTTTTTTTTCTATTTTTTTTTTTAGTGTTTTTTTTCTGGCTAGTAAACCTCTTCCTTAAATCTGTTGCTCTGTGTTTTGAATCTATTGCTTCCGTCCCTGCTGTTCAGCTAATTAATTCCTCTTAATGAAAGTAGTTCAAAGTGTCCCACAATAACTTGCTAGGGAGCTCTGGCAGCTCTATATGTAGAAATTTCTCCTTGTTTCTGTTATTTGTAGTGAAACTGCAGCACAGCTCTCAGGGATGGTTCATGTGGGGTTGCTGGGGGCTCTTTGCCCTGTTTTTCTCCCCCCTGAGCAGGGTGTGAGCTGACATCCCATCATCACACACAAGTGGGATCAAACTCGAGAGAAACGGGCTTGTGTCGCCTGTGGCATTTCTCCACCAGATCTGGATGGGTGAGGAGGTGGCATCTCCGGCTGTTCTCCTCCCTCATCCCCCACAGCGGGATGGGAGATTCAAGACCCTCGGCTGCTTGGTGCTCATCGATGGATGTGGTTGAGAGCTTCTCCCCAGCGTTCGTGGGTCTGACCAGTCTTGGCTCATCCATACCAAGCCCGTCCACCTCCCCTCATCTTTGTTCAGTGACACCTCCTTTGCCAGGCCGTATGTTTTGCAAGAGGCGTGTGATTCCCCTGAGCAGTGTGAAATTTTAGCTGTACCCTCATGGTTACAAAGAAACCTTGACAGGGGCAATTATGAGCATGTGGGGATGAAGGGAAAGGCTCTTCCTGGTTTCCCAAGCCCAGGCTGCAAGGGAAGAGTGAGGTTGTTTTCCTCCCCTATTCCAGATGCAAGAATGGAGGTGGAAAAATACCAAAATAGCTTTAAATGACTCCATCTGTGTACCGTGGCCTCCCCTGATCCCACAACCTCTGGGTTATCAGTAGATGGTTCTCCCATGGTAGATGGTTCTCCCTTTGGTAGAAGCCTCGTGCCTCCTGGGGACGCTGCTCATCTCCACCAGGTCCTGTGGCCTCGCTGGGGGTGGAGGGTTTGGCACCAGATGGTAGAAATCCCGTTTCAGATTTGGCAGCTGAGCCGAGAGCTGAGATGAAGGCAGAGAGCGCCAGAGCCCGGGAGAGGTTTCTGCGGTGTTTGCACAATTTGAAATAATAACGAAATCTGTAAAACTCTGGGTAGAGCACGACTAGAATAAGAGGCTAAATTTGTCGGATGAATATTTTACTAGAAGTGATTGGCTCCGCTCCAAGCGAGACGAGCACCAGCCTGGTCTCTGGCTCTGTCCTCAGCTGGGAGCCGGTCCCTCTCCTGCCACCTGGACGTTGCTCCTGCCATAAAAGCTGGTCTCCAGCCAAGGTGCCCGTCCCCAGGTCATCGCTGCCTGGAGCTGTAGGGCTTCTTGCAGAGCTCGTGGTCCCCTTGTCTGCGATGTATTTCCAAAGCATTGCTTTGCAGAGCAGAGGTGGTGGCAGTGGGTGTCTGTCACCAGCTCCAGGCTCACAGACTCACCCGTCCTCTGCCTCTTTCCCTTCTCCAGCTGCTTCTCTGTCCTCAGCCGTGGTGCCAAGAGAGGATGGAGGAACTGAGACATCTTGACTTTTGGGATGGGAAGGGAGATGAAGTCCCAGCGCTGGGAGGAGACAGTGGCTGCAGCCGCGGCAGCCAATTAACGGGATCATGTTTATGAATGCGGATCAGTAATTCCAGGTAAACTCCCTGAGAGCAGCGCTGCCGGTGAACAAAGCCTCCTGCCCGCCTGGGAGCCCGCTGGCAGCCAGCGGTCCCCGACAGTGCCAGCATGTTCCTGCTGTGACTCTAAACCACTTCATTTCCCAGTCCCTGCCTGGACATGGCTCATTTTGTCCCCTATTACCACAACATCGGAGCTGGCACCCACCTTTGTAGGGCTGGTTTCACCCATGTCCTCCATACCTCTCTGTCCCTGCCATCGGGGACAGCTGGTGGGAATAAGGAGCTCAGAATTAAGTTAACTTTGAAAAGTCATCAAAGACCCAGGGGTGATGAGAGACAGCTTCAACATCCTGGGCTTTGTTGGCTGCCTGGTGCCTCTCCATCACCACCCATGGGTTGGTGCACCCCATCAGAGCTCCCTAGAGCTGCTCCCATCACTCCAAATAGGTTTGAAACAGGGGTGGTTTTTGTCCCCCCACTATATAGAAGGTCAAACAGAAGATGAGGGGCTACAGAAGCAGGTCAGGGCAGTGACCAGTGCCTTGCTGGACCTGGTTTCCTTTAGAGAAAGAAAGTCTCACCATGAAGGGAACAGCTGGAAACACCACCACCACCCTCTGCTGCAAGGGACTGGCTCGGGTGGCTGGTGCTGCCTGGCTGCAGATGTCACCAGCTGCTGGTCTGAGGGCACCAGCGTGAGGACATCAGGACAGACAGGGAGTGCAGTGCTCCCTGGCCTTTACCACAATGGGTCTCAGAGTGCTGTAGCCCTCTTACTCCATAGCAGAGGTCCAGCACAGGTGGTCCCCCTGGAAACTCTCCTTTGCCATGCTTCAGTCCCCTCTGAAGAGGGCAAAGCAGTTCATCCTCCAGTGCTTGCCCACCTTGTGGCTTCTGTGCTCAGCAGAGCTGGGCTGGGACTGGACACTTGTTTCAGACTCTTGCTCAACCACCTTAAGCCAGAAGGACAGGAAGTTAAGAACTCTGTGGATGTCAACCAAGGGTTTCTGCAACTCTTATCAGTGGGGGCCTCTGTGAAGAAATGAGGAGACTCTGCAGGGTCTCGGTCAATGAATGCTTTCTTCCTTCCTGCTTTATGCCCTTGATGCTTCAGTCATAGCTGCTGTTTGAGTTCCTCATCCTGAGCCGACTTGTGCAAAACCTCCAGGAGACCATACTCCTTCTGGCTAAGGATGGGAACAGACTGGATGTGACAGCACCTGCCCAGCCCTGAAGACTACTCTGTGCTGAAAAGTCCTGCTCAGAAGGCAGAAAACCTTTTCCTTTTTCTTCGAGCACCAACAACCTCCCTCTTCCTCTGACTCCTCCTCCACCATGCTGTGGGAATTGCCTGTATCCCTCCAACCTGGGCATATCTCCTCCTCAACCATGTCCTGGCAGGTGCTGGTGCTCCAGGAAGGAGGGATGCTCCCAAAGAAGCAGGAGAGGGCAGTTGATGCTGCCATTTGGCTCCCCCCTCATTCCCCGTTTTCTGGCTCACCCCCAGGAGAGCAGTAAGCAATTATGGGCCACACGGAAGCTTCATTATCGCCCTGTCGTGGCCTCATTTGACGAGACGTTTTATTGCCAAACTTATTAAAAGTGAAACGTGCGGTTTCTGCGCAGCAATTTCCTGTCTGCAGCGATAAGCCAGGCTCTGCCCGCTGTGTAATAAACAGTTATTTTTATGTATGGCTCTGGCTGGGGTGGCGAGGAGGAGAGAGGGCCCAGCTCGTGTTAATTGCGATGGTTAATGAGATCTATTTTGGGAGCGACGTGCGAGGAGGTGCGCGCCATCCCCTTGCCACCCCTCTGTGGTGGAGGTGGCCTCCGGTGGCTTCGTGCTCTGGGTGATGGCAGTGGGGACCAGGCAGTGTCTTCTCCCTGGGGTGCATGGGGGCACCACGCCTGGAGGGGATTAATCCCAAACCCCTTGCCTGCCTCGTGTCGCCCTTTTGTCACAGCCAGGAGCACACAAGGGACCTGCTGTGCACCCCCATGGCATGAGACACCCCTCCCCTGCAAGGGCTGCCCCCAAGCTCTGTTGATCCTACCTCTTTGTGATGCTGGAGGGAACCCCAAAACCCAAGGGCTTTGCTTCATCTTCCCCAAATCCTCCCGTCTACCCGAGAACCACCCCTCCTGCAGCGGCATTTGCTGATGATGCTGGTGACCAAAGCCTGGAGCATCCATCCCATCACCTCCCTGCCATCCCTCCTGCAGCAGGCGGGCGCTGGAGCGGCGACAGCAGGAGCAATAAATTCAAAAGGCACACCAATGCCACCGAAAACCTGCGTCGCTGCTGGGCTGGGACCAGCAGAAATTCAATAAATACCCGGCTGATAAATATCATTTCATTTTGTCAGAAACAAAACGTCCTCATTAGGTGTGCGGCCTGTATTTTGCTTTAATTATATCGTTTTAATACGTATTGAAAGGAAACAGCTCTTTTAAATG